TCCCTGTGAGCGGCCCCGCGGCGCTCCCGCGCGCTCCCACCGGAGGGCGCTGCGGGGCGCGCCGCGGGGCGGTGCCGGCGGTGTCCGCGCGGGGGCGCTGCGGGGCGCTGCGGGCGGCGCGGCGGCCATGGAGCGGCTGGAGCGCGCCGGGCGCTGCCTGCGGGCCGCGCTGGCCCGGGGGCGGCTGCGGCGCCGGCTGCCCGCGCTGCTGCTCGCCATCGCCCTGCTCGGCTCCGCGCTCAAGGACAGCGGCCTGGTGCCCGACACGCCGCTGCGGAACAAGCGCAACCCGCTCAACGTGTGAGGAGGGGCGCGGGGCCGGGCGGGCGGGTGCCGCAGCGGGCCGGGCTCGGTGCTCCAGGGGATGGGTTCCCTGTTCCTGACTCTGAGCGTTCAGAGTGTCGGGAGTCTTGGATCGGTCTTTATTGGAAAGGGGGAAAAGGAGTTTGGTTTGGTTTTGTCGGTTTTTTGGTTTTTGGGGTTTTTTCCTTCCTAACGTCGCGGAAGATTGCTCGTATTTGAGTAAGCTGCTTTCAGTCCGGCAGGCGCGGCAGGACCCGCGGGCAGGGCCTGGAGCTGTGTCAGGCGGGGTGAGGCTGGGTGTAGCGAAAGGTTCTGCACCGGCAGGTGGCTGGGCACTGGAGCAGGCTGCCCAGGGCAGTGCTGACAGCGCCAAGGCTGACAGGGCTTTCGACATTTTGACATTTCGACATTTCGACACCATTTTAACAGTTCAGGCACATGCTGTGACTCTCGGGCTGTGCTGTGCAGGGCAGGAGTTGGACTCCATGGCCCTTGTGGGTCCCTTCCAACTCAGCATACTCTGTGGCTCTGTGATAGTTACTGAGCTGATCTAAAACACAGCTGAAGGAAATAGGTCTTTTAGCATCTTTCCTAAAAGCAGAGTAGCTGCCATCCTTTTCTAGCACTCGAGCGATGAGCTAACTGGCTTAGTCATTCTGTCAAACTAGTTTGAGCATTTTGAAGGAAGCAATGAGCTAGGCTGCAGCACATGTGCTGTCCTGTTACAGGTCTGAAAGTAAAACTAAAATTGCTGCTTTCCTCTGTGACTTGGGGAGCTTTGAACTTTACTGATTCAAATTTGTCATTTGGTGACATGGGAGAGGAGCTGTTTTTAGTGTGATTGAAAGAGCATTGACAGGAAGCACTTGGAGAGAAATTGATCTTACAGTAAAAGCATATTTCAGTTCGGTTCTCCCTTTTAAATAGAGGAAGGTGAGCTATACTGACAGTTCCTGAAGCAAGTATTTTTTCCCTGCAAATTACTTGCCTCCTGACTTGTCAGCAGTAACCTTGGTTAACAGCCTTTCTGCTGTTAAATAAAATATGGGGTTTATTTTCAATTACTGATTCATGGTAGCAGCTGTAGTTACCACACAGGCATCACTTCTGTAAAATTAAAGAGTGAAGGAGGTACTCGTCAAAATCCTGGGCAAAGCCCTGACAGGTTTGTTAGGGTCATAAGGAAGATGCAGAACTCCAGACTGGTTTGGCTTTGCCTTTGATGCTCAAGTGAGGATTAAATGATGAGTGTGTGTGTTTCTGTCCATAGCTCAGCCACAGAGCAGAGTTCAGCTGTCTCTGTTTTCAAACTGGGCTCTGGGTAACAAAGGGGCTGCACAATTCCCCTCTCCCACCAGCTGATAGGAAGCAAGCGCCATTGGAAGGTGCTGATGAAGGTGGGAGAAGCAAAATCGTGGACTCTTAACTCATTAATAAATTCACTGACATGTGCTTCAGTTTAAGATTTGAAGAGAGAATGAGTTAACACAGTGCTGTCTTCTGTTAAACAAGATACCAACACATTGTCAGCTGGGTTTCAAGATTTTATGGGCATCACAACAAAAGTTTTCAGGGCAGAGAGTGAATTTAGAGATGGAAGGATTTGTGTATGCCTAAAGAAGGCTCTCATCAATTGAAAGGATAACAAAGGAACAAGATTGAGCTGCTTCATTTATTAGAAGGACATGAGAGAGGAAAAGCTTCTCAGGCTGGTGAGGGGAAAGAGCCAGCCCTTCTGGCTGTCTTCGGAGGCTGAGGTTGTGAAAGGCTTTGTAAGCAAGGATAATTGAGATGGTGGAAGAGTCAGAGAAGGGGTTACTGTGGTCAGGGTGGCAGGCTAAAAATACATTCTTTGCAGCTGCATTTTGATTAGGGCAGAGCTGAGCTGGTTTGTAGGGTAAAAGTGATTGCAAAACTGAACTGCAAGTCTGCTGCAATGAATGAGAGCTCAGGCCAAGGCAATGCTGCCTTGGGAACAAGTACCTGGCTGAGGAAGTATTCAGGTTTTGGGCTTGAGGGAAGTACTGGGGAGAGGGCTAAGACTGTAGCTAAGCTGTATTTTGAGGGGAGGGCACAAATCTCTAATTTAGATGGTTCTGAACGCTGACCTTGAGCACTTACTCTACCACTTGCCCCGCTGCTGTGGCGTTTCACCCATGCTGGTGTCTCCTCTGCCTTTCCTCCGGCAGATACTTCGTGAAGGTGGCCTGGGCTTGGACACTGTGGCTGCTGCTGCCCTTCATCACCCTCACCAGCTACGAGCTGGCCCGGAGCAAGCTCCTGCACGGCCGCACCAAGAGCGCGCTGCTGGCGCTGCGGCGCCTGGGCGCGCTGCTGGTGGGCACGGCCGTGTGGTACCTGTGCACCGAGCTCTTCATCCTGGTGGAGAACCTCACCGGGGAGTGCTCCCTGCAGGCCAAGCCCGGCCAGCCCGCCCGGCTCTACGCCTCCAAGCGCGAGTGCCACCAGGACAGCGGCGTCTGGAACGGCTTCGACATCTCGGGGCACTGCTTCCTGCTCTCCTACTGTGCCATGATGATCCTGGAGGAGCTGGCCGTGCTGGAAGCGCTGGCCATGGAGCACAGCTCCAAGCTGCGTGCTGTGATCAACGTCCTGCTCGTTTCCCTGTGTTTCCTCACCGTGATCTGGGTGTTCATGTTCCTCTGTACCGCCCTGTATTTCCATGACTTCAGCCAAAAGCTTCTCGGTGTGCTGATAGGTCTGTCAGCTTGGTATGGGACGTACAGGTTTTGGTATTTAAAGCCCTTTTCTCCTGGACTACCTCTTCCAAATATACCTTTGAGTTCAAAGAAATACAGCTATAGCAGATAAAATAAGGTTTGAAATGTTTTGGATTTCGCTTTCAGTACTGGAGTAGTTGAATGTAGGAATGATTACTGTATTTCCACTGTAAGGAACAAGGTGATGGGTTGGAGGAAACCAAATCTGTACTAGCCATTGCCTGGCAGGTGGTAATGAGCTTCTTCCCTGGGAGAAGAAAAAAAATCAGGATTGGAAGAGATCTGCTCTTGTTTTGGAGCTGCCAACTGGGATTGTCAGCAAAGAAATCAGAAGCTGAATCTGTTTCTCTTACTAATAAAGAAATCAGAAGCTGAATCTGTTTCTCTTACTAATAAATGGAGAAGCAGACCCAAGGCTAAAAGAAGCCTTTGATCTTTAGTAGTGTGATTTATCTCAGTTAATTCTCCCTCCTTTTGAATTATGTCAAGATACTGTGGATGATCCAAACCTCAGGCTTTTTTTAATGTTCCTATTTGTGTTGCCTTATGGGAAAGCTCTAATAATCACAGTGCTGCTAAGCATTGCAAAAATATCAACTATTGTGGAAAGCAGTTCTGTTGTGAAACTGGAACATCTCATGTTCTCAAGTATTAAAAACACTAACTTGCCAGAAATGCCTCATAGCTGCTTCTGCAACAGAGAGTAAATCTGAGGTGCAGTGTCTGAAACAGACTGTGACTCTCAATTCATGCCATGTCCAAAAAAGAAAACTCTTGAAAAAACAAGCCTTAACTTTCTCCTTAGGTGAGGTAGATGTAATAATATTTTGTCATTTTATTTTTGACACTAAGAACCCAAATTCCTTTCTGTTTTGCTAAAACGTCTAGTATGAGGACTCGGGTTTTAATTTTTAAAAAAATCGAATCCACTGCACCCTTTGCAACAAAAAATTCCTTGGGTTGTTCTTTCTTCTAGAGCAACAGTGGAATTCTGTTGTTGTGAACAAGCTAGCTTATCCTGCTATTTCCCAAATAGTCTGCTTGGTAATGAGTGAAATACATTGTTTATCCTAGGAGCTGCAAAGCAGAGTGTGCTTGAAGCAATATTTATTCTTGCAATAGCATAAGCTATTTAATTTTGATTGCACATAGAGCTGTGGCCACTTTTGATGTGGCTGTAAACCCACTACTGAACAAAACACTGCTATTAGATAATGAATAGGGGTGAGATGGGTTTGCTCATATCAGTCAGGTGTTTAGCATCGTTTTTATCTCCAAAAGCTTTTAATTATTTCATAAAGGCTCATTCATGATGCGGTTGCATGAAGTGTGTTTGATAGTGATGACGGGACAGCCAGGAGGATCTGTGGGCAAGGCTGTGGGTCACCTCCACTACCCCCACAGTGGGGTCACTGAATTTGGTGGCAAGTGGGAATTGTGTGTCCTTAGAAAGAGCAATTCACCTCTCAGAAGGAAGCTGTCCATGGGGTTATGTATTTCCTGTCAAACTCCTCTTGGTTTTGTACTAAATTGCCTTTTAAGCTGACTCTTCCAGAATTGCACTGATTAACTCATATTGGGTTTAACTAAATTTGTTTAAACAATGCAAATATATTTGCAGACACTCTTTTGATGTAATTTAAGCCTACTCCCAATAGAGCTAAGCTAGACTGCAAGCCACTTTCACCATGAAAAAGGATTATATACCCAGAAGGTTTTATGATTAATTTCATTAAGTTCCTATTTTAGGTTATCTTTATGTAACTTTGCTGTATAGACAAGCCCTTGGAACAGGAAATGCTGTTTACTTAAACCAACTGACTTGCTGAAATGATGTTCATTTTCACAAACGTTTTGTGCAATCACTGTGGATATTTCTGTCCACTTTAACCAGTGTCATGCAGATTATTTTTTTTAATGGAAATAATGTAGGATATGGTTATTCTCTTATTTAAACAATGAAAGAAAACCATTTGAAAACTTTATCAGTGTTTGTGTCTTTGAGAATCTCTTCCTGCTATCTGTAAAGATGCTGTTGTTACTCTCCACATCCCTGGATGACCCAGCCCCACAGAGTTTGTGTGACTACTGAGATGTCTGATCAAACTGGCACTGAAACTTCTGCACTGTTTGAAATAATTAACAGAGAATGGTTTCTCAGGAGTGCAGAGTTTTAAAAAGAAACAAAACCGAACAAAACCCATGGCTGACTAAAGCAAGTTTCCCAATGTGTGCCTGTTAGAGTAAGCAATTCATTTTGTAAGCATGGACATTGGTTTATTGTAGCAGAGGGAAGGCCTAATCCATTGAAATGTATGGGAAAACTCCCATGGGCTGTAATAGTCCTTGTGAGTTTGGAAATCTTGGGGTCTTTCTCAGTGCCCAGATGCCATGGGCCAGCTCTTGGCTCAGAAGGTTCCCTTGTGCTCCAGACCTTATTTGTGCCTTTTGACTCTACTCCAGAGTAGGAATTGCTTCCTTGTGCTTCATCTGAAAAATTAAGGTTGCAAATTTCTTATTCACATACTTGCCATCAAATTTCTCCGACTTCCCTTTCTCTCCCAAAATGTATCATTAAAATAAAAATTGCAGCCTTTCCACAATAGATTTGCAGCTAAAGAGAAACAGTGCTGGGAGCAGCTGCATTTGGTATCCTGTGCCTGAGGAACAAATCAGTTGTCAACTGGTACTGCTGGTTTGTTTCAGGTGTTGGGGTGGGGTTTTTTTTGCTTTTTCTGCATTAAAATGTTCCTGTTGTTCTCACAGAGCTGTCTTTCTCTCTGTAGAATTACCTAGGGAAATTTTGTCTCCAACATCTTGGTAACATATTTCAACATCTGCCTGCCAATCTTTCATTTCCTGTGTTTGGGCTGTTTTGTGGGCCCTGTTTCACAGTTCTTTCACAGGAGCAGCACTTGGCCTGACTGTGTGGCCAAGGCAGCTCCTGGTGCCTTAAACATTTTCCTCTGCTGGGAACAGGTAGAGCACAGTGGGAAGAGAAACTGCCTTGGGATTCATTTCACTCTTCACTTACCTGGGACTCTTTCAAATGTTGGTGTCACTGCAGGCGAGGTCAGGCAAACAGGAAAGTTGAGGTCTTTCATAAGAGCCATGTGAGCAGTTCAGACTTTAGACATGTCTGAACTCAGGGTTTGATTCTTCCTCCAGGTTTGTACAAAGCAAATGTCATCCTTGAATGCTTCACTGGTGCTAAATTATATTCCTGGTTTCCCAATTTATTTGTGTGTGCTGAAACTTAGGTTGTGGGTGGCTGCAAAAAAAAAAAAAAAAAAGAATCCTGTTTTCTGTTTTGGTGTGGCAATTGGTGACAAAGTGAGAAACACCCAGTTATGCCCTGGAGTGCACTTTAATGGAAGAAACTGCTGTGATATGTTAAATATTTTGGGAAATAATCTTAGTTGTGAACACAAGTCTGTGGTCACTTCATGAAATAGTAACTGATTTTTCCACTGTAACTTCATGTTCCTCAAACCAGGACACTTAAAGTAGCTCCCTGCAGTTTCTCTGCAATTGGCCTTCCCCAGCTCTTTGATCACCTTGTGTTATCTCCTTTTGCTCAGAAACCTGTTTCCTGGGATTATTTCTTTTCATAGCTTCATCTCTCCTCCTGGAGCACAGATTAGTAATAGATGCTCTGCACCTCTGCTGGATTTGTGCTCTCTCAGTATTTTGCCTTCCCTTCTTTGAGGTATTTTGTAAAGCTTAAGATGAAAGTAATCAATAGACACAAAAAGGCTGTTGTGACTCTGAACTGATGTTTAACTGTTAAACAGAGCTGCTCTGTCTGTACTGGTGGAAAACCTGGAGAAAAGCACATGGTTTATTCATTTAAGCAGAACTGCACCTGATGTGCTTGAGCTCAGGGGAGGAAAAAGGTGATGTGACAGCAGAGCTCCATGCATTAGGAGAGTTACCTTTGTCCTCTTGGGGTCCAAGTGCTCATTCAGCAGGGCGTACTTTCATCCAGGTGCTTAGCAGGAAATAATTTGGATATGGGAAGAGTCCCTTAGTGCTTAAATGAAGGATGGAATGAGAGCATAATCTTTAAAGGCTGAAAAAGCAGACATGGAAATGGCTATCAAGATTGAGTGCAGTCCATGAAATCTCAGGCAATTACATAATTGTATTAATCTGAAAGGTTATTTATTTTTAAACTACCACCTGTCCATCACAAAACAAAAGACAATATCATGTGCTTGTAACAAGCCAAAAAACTCCTCTGTAAAGCTTTGGGACTAGAAGATGGCACAGAAAATGAATTGTAGGGGAAGAGCTTTACCAGCCTTTCAGAAGGGTTGGATATCATGGGAAAGCAGCCCTTGGAAAAATGCCCTTTCCCTGTTGTGCTCTCCCTGACAGTGTGTGCTGTGGCAGAATTGAGGATCTCCCTGGTGGTGAAGGCTGAAGAAAGGAAAATGCGCAACAAGAATAAATGCAAACAATTACTTTTATCCTCACATTTCCGAATCCTTTTCCCACGTCCAGTCCAGGTTAATTTTGCAGGTCTGGGCTGTGCATTCCCTCATCACAGCTGATGTCAGAGCAGGAACTGGGCACATCCTCGGTGTGAATCTCAGCTCTTTTGAAATGCCTTCCCTGGATGCTGCCCTGCCTGCAGAGCGTTCCCATCTCGTGGGTTCTGTTCCGAGAGGTCACAGGGGTGTGACCGTGCCCGTGACAGCCTTAACGTGGTGACCCACCAGCGAGGAGAGTTCAGCTGAACAGCTGTGCCTCAGCAGCCGCCTGTGATGGAGAAAGCCATGCAAAATGGGGGGGAAATAAGGATGGTGCTCAGCCCACACAGCCTGTTGGCCTTATCCAAATGTGTGAATTGCTGTTCCCACACCTAGCAGGACTGTGCTGTTGGGAATGGCACCCTGGGCCTGCCCTCTGCAGGTTTTACAGTGATGGCAGCAAGCACAGACCTGCTGTGGGTTTGGTACAGTGTCACTGGACCACGGCTCTGGTGTTTCAGCTTTGTCATGGCCTGACCTGATTCAGTTTTTAGAAGAATGGGAGTGATAGAGGTTTGAGGTTTTCAAGAATATATGTATTTTTTGTCTTGATTGTCATAGTTTGGAAGTTAGGAGAAAAAAATGGTTTTTGGTTTACTTTGTTTACTGGGGACTTTTCTTTGTTGTTTGCAGGGATCTTGTTTGGTTTGTTGTTTTTTTTTTTTTTTTCTTGTGACCAAGGGAAGAAAAAGAAAAACCTATTGCTACTGTGTAGTGCTTGGATCCAAGGGCACAGAATGGAAAGAAATTGCTTCTGGTAAGCAAAAATAGAAGAGTGTTCAGGAGGTTGGTGGTGGAGTGACATGACCTTGTGATGTAAAGAGCGTGTGCAAAACTGCACTTAACTATGCAGGATACTTGGTTCTGTGTCAAGAACTGCCTGCAGCATTACACAGCACCCTCAAACTTGGTTACACTGTTCTGATTGCAAAGTAGCTTTATTTGGATAACTCTCCTGGAGCTAAAAAGGATTTAGGTCGCAGGAGAGATGAGGCGCTGGTAGGAAAGGGCTGAGAAGGGAGGCAATGCAAGTAGGGGGATGGATGGTGTTATTTTTAAAGGAATGTTTTAGAAGTCATTGATCCGTGCTGTTTGTTAAGAGATTTTTAGCAAGATTCCATCTCCTTCCTTTCCTAGCAGTTCTTCCTTAGACGGGGGGAACGGGAGGTGATGCAGAACCTGACAACCCAGGGACTCCTGACAACAGGAATGTCTGGGAACTTTTCCTTGCTGTCTGTGACAGGAGAGTGACACCAGGGACCCCAGAGAGAGCAAAGGGGTAGGACAGCAGAGAGGGGTAAAGAAAAAAGGGACTGAAAGTAGATCATTGTGCACAGGGAACAAAATGGAAGAAAAAATACTGTGAGCTCCTGTGAAGTGGGTGGAGGTTGACATTTTGCTTATTGAAGCTCTTCAGCACCAAGGTGACATGGAAATGGAAATGGAAATGGAAATGGAAATGGAAATGGAAATGGAAATGGAAATGGAAATGGAAATGGAAATGGAAATGGAAATGGAAGTGGAAGTGGAAGTGGAAGTGGTCTCCTTTCTGCAGGTAGAGCCTGGCCAGCAGCACACAGGTACTGCTGCAGTGATGGACACCTGTGTTCTGACAGAGCAATTCTTCATCCTCATTATTTATGGCAGAGCTGCTATTCCTTCTTCCACTGAGAGCTGTTCAGTGCAGGCTGTTTTCTCTCTGTTTAATCCTCCAGAGGAAAGCGAGTTAAAAGAAGAATAAAAGACAATGACAGTGAAATGTCCTTTGGGCACATTTGGGGATCAGCACCAGGGGAAAACCAGGAAATGTATTTGTCATGAATGTGCTTTATCAGAGAATCCAAGTTCCCGTGTGTTTTTATTACTGTGGTTTTTTTAACTTTAGGTTCAGTAGGAATGGCTGGGTCTGAAATATCTGATTTGGCCACTGAGACCATGCTTTGAGAAGTCTTTCAGGTGTACAAAATCTGTTCCTGTTCACTACATAGAGAGATGTTTTCACTCTTATTCACACCTGTGGGGTTGAACTTTTCCCTGGGCAGTGCTGCTGGACTGGGGACTTTATGCCACCATGGCAGAAGGAGCTTTTCTACAGTGTAGCAAAGCAGCTTTGCTGTGAATAGAAATTGTCCTTTCATCCTCAGCTATGCCACAGGTAATTGCAAGTTTGGGGTTACAAGCTCTTGTACATGATTTCCTGTTTCTTTGGGGTTTTAGTTTTTAATTTCATATTTTATATTATCCCTAGCCATCTCAAAATACTCTATTCATATTATCCCATGTTATTTCAATCCCATATACCTTTCAGCAGCCTGTGGGATTTAGCTGCTGTCATTGCCTGCATTGTGGATCGAGTCTGGGTGGTTTTGGCTTTGATCCTAATGATGGCAGTGAATGCCACCAAACACAACTTGATGTTAACTATTTTCACAAGCTTTAATGTTTTGGTATTATGTGGGAAAATCCTTCATTTATTTTCACAGAAGAAAGGAAAGAAGGGGCAGGTCTTACATCATCCCTCTCCACTCTGTAGCCTGGATTCTGAAATTGCAGTTGGGTGGTAAGGTTGGTTTTTTTAATTCAACAACAGAGGAACACTTGGCAAATAATTTCTGACAGGGCCATCAAATGGTCACTAGACACTCTTAGGCAGCTCTTGATCTTGGTTACTTTGGCAAGCTGTGAGAGGCTCTGTGGTGTGTTCCCTGTCCTCAGGCCAGCTTGGTGTTGAAATCCTTTATTCTGCATGAGGTCTTCTCCTTGCCAAGCAAAGGAGAACGCTGCCAGCCAGCAGAAAGGCTGACATGTACATTTTCAATTTTCATAATCGAGTCTTTTGAGCAAATCCTGTAGGAGTAAAAAGATTTCAGAAGCTGTAGCTCTGCAAATGTGACCACTGGGAGCCTGTTAAACAAGAGGCTTGGAGGCAGGAATAAGAGACTCTGTGTCATGGAGCTGCATCTCAGGGGTGCTTGGACTTGACATAAAGCCCCTGATTTTCATCCCTCTGATAATTAGAAGTTCCATACCTCAGCACAGACACAGATTTTAAAGCACTGAGGTGTGTCAAAGCCCGTTTGCCTCTAAAACACAAGGATTTTGAAGGATAAAAACTTCCTTGGGTAAATAAGTACATCTAGAGTAAAGGAGGACCCTGGCTGGGGTTGGGTCAGGCACACAGGAGTGTGGGGTGCAGGATGCAGCAGGAACCATTCCCTCTTGTCTAAAATATAAAATAGCACCTCTGAGGTGCCTCATCTTCCAGCCTTGGGTGCTGCTGTTACCCCACACCTTGCTGAGGGCAAAGTATAGAGTCCTGGAGTGAGAAAACAGGTTTTTGCCATCATTTTCATGTTTCTGTGTACAGAACATGCCCTGGGCAGTGAACAGGCCAGTGCCTGGCTCATGGTGCAGTGGGCTCCCCTTTGCAGTGGAACTGGAGCAGAAAAGGTCTGATCAGGCTGAGATCAGTCAGAGCAAGAGCAACTTTTTATGATGCAGCTTGTAATCACCCCAGGGCTGCTTATAGACACGGCTAACCCAGATTGATCGAGGCTCTGACATTGGTTCCAGGGATCCCACACATCAATCCAGCCTCTGCCTGCCACAGGAATTGTCTTTTATCACTCTCACCAATTGCTTTTCCCTGGAGCAAAGTTCTGGTACTTTTTCATTACCAGGACAGGAAAACAAGGCTTAGTGACAGGGAGTGGTGCCATTTTTTTTTTTTTTAATATTTTTTAAATTTGGTCCAGAACAAAGGCTTATTATTGACTATTTTTAGCTGAGAACCTCTAAAAAATCCACCACTACAGCATCAGTGGCTTCCCAGCAGCCCACACTGCAACACTGGTTCAGTTCCTGTCCATGCCTTGTTCCAGATGCTGGATCTGCCCATTTTCCTTGTAACAGCTGCATTTTAACAGTGTGCTCCAAATAAAACACACACCTATTTTCTCCAGTGTTTAGAGATCCAATTTGCTCTATGACTTTAAATTTATTCTCTGGTTTAAAATACATAGATAAATAAAATTAAGGAGCAAAGTAATGAGCAGCAGTCTTGCAAAGCAACTTCCCTCTGCCTCTCTCTTGGACTGAAATTCTAAGAATGGAGGAAGTATTTGTTCTCCTTCCCTCTGGGTTTCCTGGCCTTATAACCCATTAATATTCCTTTCTACACCTGGTGTGTGCATTTCATCAGCTTTTGGAGATCACCAGGGAATGAGCATGTAGGACCACAAACAAAGGGAAAAGGGTGAAATCCTGGTAAGCATTTTATGTTGGTGTACCTTTATAAATTATCTTTCTGGGGGGTTTATCACCAGATTGACTGGTTTGACCAGATTGATTGACTGAAGAGAGGATGACCCCTAGTTCATCTTCTTGCACCTTTCAGATTCAGCAAAAAGGAGGAGCTCAGGGCACCCTCCTGCCTCCCTGTTCAAAAAGAAGGAAAATACAACTATTTTTTCTGAAGTCACCCACTCCACAAAGCAAATACTGAATGTATTTGGGAGAATGTGTGTCTGCAAGGTTTCATTCAGCCACCTCGGCTGCAGGAGCCGGGTGGGTCTGGGTTCTCACACAGCAATTTCAAGTGTGGCCCCATCCACGGGGGGATGACAGGGATAACACAAAGCCCCCACAGCTACACAGCCTGTTGTATTCCAGAAACCTGTCAGACCAGCCTTATGGCAAGCACCATATAAATGTGTGCATTGTGCACTCACTGTGCTCATCCCCTTTAATTCCTGCTAAATATTCCCAATTCTGTGGCTGCCAGGTTGTATCAAAAAGGTCCAGGGAAAGCTTGTTGCTTTCAAATGCATAAGGATAACCTTTGAATCAGAGGCAAATGCAATTCCTGTTATTTCAGCCACACTTGACATTTGTTCCCAAGCCCCGAGATGCAGCATGGCTCCCAGGGATCACTGGAGTGCCTGGAAAGCCAGCAGGCTGAGTGCTGACAGAAATTAGTGATTGGAAGAGGAATATATATAATTTCCATGCAAGTTTTATACCAGTGCAGTACATGAGGCAAAGCACAAACCACCTGCACATCCCACTGCCCTCGGGCATGCCTTGCACTGGGACCAGAAGGATGTGGAACACATTTAGAGATGCGAAGCCATTACTCCTCCCATATGGTTTATTGAAGATCTCAGTTTCCAAAGCATGAGTAGCAGTGAGGCCTGTTATTCTTTCCAGCATGCAAAAGGCACAAGAAAGTCATCAATGTGATTCTGTGCAAAGTGTCCCTAAGAAAACACACAGCGAGGAAATGACAGAAAAGAGCCCCCGATGGAAGAAAGCCAAAGCGCCTTCAGGAAAGTGCTGAAAAGTTCTGAAAATGGTTGTATTTTTTCAGAGTCCAAATATGCTCAGTTGGTGAAAGATGCTTTGCAAATCCGTGAAAGAAAACTCAAGAGACAGAGCCAAAAGGCTTAAAACAATAATCTCCTTCATGTGCCAGAATTCAGGATCAAAGTCAAAATGATTTATCTCAAGAAAAAAGTGCGGCAGTTAAAGACAGACATTACATTCTTTACAAAAAAGCTCACCAAAACCAGACGTAGAAAGTGGATACAATCTAAGAGCAGCTCAATAAAAAATATTCCTTTTAATGAAAATAATTTTTAAAATGGATACTTGAAGAACAGAAATCCACCTTGACTGTGACCAGCTACTGCACCCTGCTCCCAGGAAAGCCTCTGAGCACGACAACACAACGCCTTCTAGAAGAAGAAAGTCCCCACTACCTGCATGTGTGAAATGTGGCCAGTGAACAATTTGGAAACACAAACGTACAGGACCAAGTATCCAAGTCCCAGTAGTCAACTTGGGTGTTGGGAAGCCTCCTGGGATTCTCTCTCCCACTGGAGCTGGCTGGTGCTGGAGGCAGTGCCACTTCCCGGTGGGCACGGCTGAGCCCGTGAACCCTTGAGCCTCTCACTGGAGTTGAATACCTAAACCTAAAAAAGGCATTTACAAGTTGACGCTTTTTTGTTGTTGTTGTTGTCTTATTTCCTTGCAGTATAGGTTTCTACTTCTAGACTATGGAATGTTACATTAAACAATATAATTATTCATTACCTTGCTTCAAATTTCATTACAGTTACTGAGGCTTCATCATAATTTCACACAGCACAGAGACACCAAACTAAACACCAAGCAGTCAGCACTAAATGTATTTTTTCTTTAAGTACCAATAAGCAAAGTATCCCATTCCCCCCAGAGATCCCATCAGGAAGGAGGCTCCAAGGAAGGAGGGAGGTTTCCGCTTGACCAGCCTGAAGGCATTGGGTACCACTGCAGAGAGGAGCGTGGTGTGGATGTCTCCCAAAACTTTCCTGAAGGCGAAGCGTTTCTGTATCCTGTCAAAGAAGGACTGTAGGTTAGGTCTGCTGCCATCTTCCCAGTATTTCTTAGAGAGTCCCAGAAACTTGAGGCGGTGCAGGGTGGCTCCTAACAAGACATCAGCCAAAGTAAAGACGCATCCGCAGAGCCAAAGTTCACACTTCTGCCCTGGAGAGAGAAGAGACAGAACAAAGGTAAGAATCCCTTGGGTGGGCACCTAAAATCTTGCTCAAAAGGTCCACATAGGCAGGAGCATTTGTAAATCTGGGGTGTTTTTTCCCAGCTCTTTGATGGGCCCGGAGCTCAGAGCCCATCTACCAGGTTGATGATGGAGAGTCTGGGGCTGCCAAAAGCTGGGAATATGAGATGATGATTTTTAGCCTTTGTGAATATACAAATTGCTGGCTGCAAAGCAGCTCTGCTGCCTCTCCCCCAAATCAAGAGCAGCAGGAAATGGCATCCTCCTGTACCCAGAGGTCCCTGGAAAAGAGCCCTTTGCCCCCCTTGAAGGAAGACGCCGAGCACTGACCCCTTCTGCTGTGTCAATGCAGAGAGAGCAGCAGTGTCTGCCCTTGGCTACACCAGGAGCTGTTTCAGGAGTGTCACGTCAGCTTGGCCTATTTTAGGGATGTGAGAAATCCTCAGGAATCAAAACCATTTGCTGGATGGCCTGGCTGCTCTCCCTTGTGTGCTGCTGGGGAGGTTCTGCCTTTGTTCTCTCTCCTGTACCAGGGACCCTGCTCCAGGACACCAAACCCGGCAGCACCTCTGTGGCCAGAGCCAGGCTTTTGGGGAGACAGAGCTCAGTGTGAATGCAGGACATGAAGAAAGACACTGAAGGGTTGAGAGCCCCTGATAATGGGTGATCCCAGAAATAACCCCACTAGAGAGACATCCAAAAATAAACCCAGCTGCTGTTAGGCTGGAAAAAGCAGTTTCAGTCCAGGATATTGTTAAGCACTCTCTCACTGCCCTTTCAATACCAAGGAGCTGGGATGGAGCTGAGGGAGATGAAAGAAGGTGCAGGTAAAGAACATCAGAAAGAGCACAAAAATCCACCTTCAGTCAGCTTTGCTCCAGATTCCTGATTGTGGAACTCTTCATTGTCCTGTGGCTATTGTACCAGGAAAGAGAAGAGAGGCTCCAGTGTAGCACCCCAGGGCAGGCACTGCTGCTGCAGGGCTGCCTGCGGGACCAGGCTGGGGCAATTATGGGTAATTAGCAACCCTCATTTATAGCTGCTTGGCAGCCTGCCTAATCCTGCTGGAGGCACTGCCCAAGTGGACAGATTGCCTGTGCCTAATTAATCAATAAATATTTCCAGTGACTAATGGCTTGTGGGGGTGCTGCAGCCAGAGCTTCTTGGGAGTGGTGGGGACCTTGTGGGTGCTTCTGCTCAGCGGTGAGGGGAGCAGGGCTGAGGCACTGCCTCACTCCAGGCACTGCTGCAGGTGAAGGAGACAGCACATGTGAGGATGGTGACTTCAGGAGAGAGCTGTGATCCATCCCTGGCCCTCCTGGCTCTGGGCTGGCGCCTCTGCTGAGGTCTGGAGCCCAATGTGGCTGCTCCAGCCCCTTGCACCCCTGCCCAGCACTGAGTGGGGTAGAAGCACAGGCAAAGGCAACTCTTCCCTTTGCATCCCCAGCAGGGATCAGCCTGTCCCAGCTGGAGGGGGAGCCTGTGGCAGGGGTCTCCTGGTGCTCCTGCAGCACCTCCCACCCTCCTCCCGCCTGCATCGCCGGCAGCCTGGGCTGCGTGGGAGTGGAGCTACTGCACTGCAGCTCCTGGGAAGTTGCCAAAGTGGTGATCATGCCCACTGCTGAGATCCTCACCAGGCCATGGTGGGAGTCTGGGCTTCTGGAGCAGAGGGCAGGAGAGGCACACAAGGACTGAAGGCATTGGAGAACCTGGGTGCTGGCAAGAGCAGCAGCAATCCCTCTGCTCCAGGCACCTGGGATGTCCTCCCAGGGCCCCTCATTAGGCTGAATTCTGCTGTCCTAGCCCTCACACTGGTTAATGAGGGTTTTTGAGGAAATTAGGGCAAGGCAGGATGCCACTGTGAGCACACCAGGGCTCTTGGTAAATCCCCAGCCCGATGCCCTGCAGGGCCTGACCCTGGCACCCCCAGGGCCCTCCAGTGTGGCCCGAGAGTGACGCAAGGCTCGCCAGGGCAGGGGCAGCTGTGGGACCAGCCCCATTAATGTGCCTGGGCTCTGCTCTGCACCGTGGTGCTGGCAGCCCTCCCGGGGCTGGGGCTGGGGCTCTGAGACCTGCCAGCAGTGAGGAAAAGAGGAAGGACGGCGTCATCCAGGGGTGATGGCAGGACAAGTGCTGCCCAGCTGTGCCCAGGCAGCCCTGAGTGCCAGGGCTGCTCTGGGCAGGCTCCCAGCACCGTGTCTTTGCTGGCAGGGACGGCTGGTGTCCCTCTCTCCCACCTGCTGGCGTGTGACGCAAGTTCTGTAAAGGTTCTCCCCCCAGGGCCCCTCAGAGTCCTGGGTTTCCCTGCCCAAGCTCGGCTGGGATGTGCCAAAGCCTGGTGAGGTGAGGGCTTGGCTGTGGCACATGTCCCATCTCTGCTCTTTCAGCAGCCAGTGCTCCTCGTGGCCAAGTGCCTGGGGCCAGCCTGCTCCTTCCTAAACCAGAGCAACAGTCACTGTCAGTCCCTTGCTGGGGTAGAGGCCACCTGCCATCACCCTGTGATGACTCTGGGGCTCTCAAAAAGCATCCATGAGGACAGGGGTCCTGCTATTCCCTGTGGCAAGGGGTGCAGGGGTGGTTTGCCAGAGGTTAGTAAGACCATGGCTGCAAAAACATCAGTGTACCTAAAACCAGGAGAGCCCAGAGGCAGCCCCAGACCCACCAGTGGTTGCTCCACGGAAGTTGTTAATCAGGTGCAAAGCTTTTGGCTGTTTCTGGTGTTGCACCTCAGCCTCGTATGGAAAAGCACCCCATAAACACAGCCCAGTGCCTACCTTGGTACTCCAATTTCCTCTTCTCCAGCTCAGCCTCAATCTGGTCAAGCACCATCCCAAGTTCTCCAAGGATCTTCTTCAAGTAGTTCACATTATCGTGCTCCAGGATCTTGGCCTGGGTGAAGAGCAGGGTTAGAATGTGGAATAAATGGATGCAGGGACACAGGGCATCAGGTGCCCATGGCAGGTCTGTGAGTCATGTTCCCCCAGCACCAAGGATGTGTGTGGCTTTGACCCACTCACCATGAGCTTCTTCTGCTTGGAGAGGTAAGGCTCAGATAACTGTGGCTCCTCTTCATGGTCCAACTTCATCAGATCTGTGGTGGCATTAGCTAAATGTCCTGGGGGGGACAGACAGAGAGGCTGGGATGAGCAGTGTCTGATAGCAAATCACCTCATCCTGCAGCCAGAATATTATTGTAAATGCAGGCGAACCCAATGGGAAGAAATGACCATGTCTGACTCAATTCAGAAGGCTGAATTATTTCTTTATTATAACTGTGCTAAAATACATTAATATACTTTATAAAAGGAGAATACTAAAACTACATACTA